CATTGGAGATGGTAGAGCTGATGGGCTACTTTCAAACAGAAAGACTAGATAATTAGGTTTTTAGTCTCATGGGGAAAGATACTGTAGGTCTGGGAGGTGATTCAGATTAGGAAAACTGCACAAGAGAAATTGCTGAACACCCTTTTTTAGCACTACTATTCTGATCAAATTAAAATAAAAAAACAAATTTGTAGCCCTAAGATTTTCTTAGTATATTAAAAATTCTACTACATGAGCAGGGGAAATGCTTAAGATGTTTTAAGACTTAAAAAAAAACACCACCTCTATTCCTCATTTTATAAATCATCATCACCGTCATCATCTACATCTAATAACTAAGTATGTAAAATCTGAGGATATTTAAATCTGGTGACTGGAGCTTTGAATGGGCAAGATAGAGCATTCTACAAATCTGGACAATGCCTCAAGTTTGCAGAAAAATCTGAAATCTAAAACAAACACAAGGCCTTGAGGGTCCCCTACCGTGCAAAGTGGGCCTTGCTCAGTGGCCAGCACCACAAAATAGGGTCACAGTTATCCTAGGGAGAGGCTACTGGGGGGGGGCAGACAAGGCTATGGGGGCTTTTCAGGAAAGGGAAAAATGAAAAAGTGGGGGAGAGGGAACTCCCAATAGTTCTTGTGGTTACCCACTTGTATATTCTAATAGCCAAGTCAGCCAAATCTCAGAATATTTTAATCTGGTGACTGGAGATTTGAATGGGCAAGACAGAAGGATTAGGGAGACCCAGGTTCAAATCACCGGTCTGCCATGGGACTCATTAGGCGATGTAGGGCCAGCCTAACCTACCTCTCAGACCTGTGCGGATAAAAAGAAGAGGATGACGATGCAAGGTGCCTTAGTCCCCATTGTGGAGAAAGATGGAGTATAAATGAAGAAAATAAAATATAAAATATAGCTGAAGATGAGAGGCAGATAAAAGGTAGGTTGGTGAATGGCTGAGGAGAGAATGTGAAATGGAAATGGCAGAGGATATGGGGGGCTGCCCGGTGGAGGTAAAAAGGAATAATGTAGTGGTTGGGTTACAGGGGAAAATCCCCCCTAAGTCCTTAAGGGTTCCCTACCAAGCAAGTGGGCTGGCTGCACACAACTGGGCCTTAATTTTCCTAGGTATAAGATAGAGGGAGGGAGAACCAGAAGATGAAAGAAGAAGAGAATGGATTTATACCCCGCCCTTCACTACCCAAAGGTGTCTCAGAGCGGCTTACAAACACCTTTCCCTTCCCTTCCCCTCCCCACAACAGACACCCTGTGAGGTAGGTGGGGCTGAGAGAACTCTTGACAGAAACTGCTCTTTTTCAAGAACAGCTGTGCCAGAGTTATGGCTTGCCTAAGGCCATCCAGCCAGATGCAAGTGGAGGAGTGGGGAATCAAACCCTTAGAGTCCGCGCACTTAACCACTGCACCAAAGGGCAGATAAATGTTTGCTGTTGGGAAGGGATGAGAAAAGGAAGCTGGAAAATGGGAGAAGCTGTGGGGGCTTTCAGAGAGGGAAACAGAAAATAGTGAGGGAGGTGAAAATTAGATAACCCTGAAAGTCCTTGAGGGTTCCCACTCGTTTCTTCTGAAAGTGACACATGATCACTGCAAGCTGGTTTTCACTTCTGGAAAAGCCCCAATAAAAATGAGCACAGGATATACTATTCATCAAGGAAACCCGGTTTGTGTTTTGACATAGCATCAATGACTTCAAACTCACATTGTTAGCCTGGCTAAACCAAAAGGTTATCTATGAAATTGCTTCTCTTGCATAAAGTTCCTTTGCTGCCTTAAGTGTAGTAAGGCTTATAGGTTTGTTAAAATATTGTTCTATCTCAATCTTCTCCTTGTACAAACATTCCTAATATATACTTTAAAATCCATGATAGTTTCATTTTTTGTTAGTAACCAATTTAAAACACACAAGGAATAGTTGAAAAGAGTAAGAGTCCAGTAGCACTTTAAAGACTAACAAACTTGAGGTAGGGTATGAGCTTTCGTGATGCACTGCTCACTTCTTCAGATACAAGGAATAGTTGTTTTAGAAAAGGAATGCAGTTTTACATTACATTAGCATTACCAAGATATACATTTGCCATTTGATTCTGTAAAACATCTTGCTTTATCTGAAGCCAGCTTCACTTTATATTTTCTTACATGGAAACCACTTCTGAATGAGAAAGATCAGTATCTGCAACAAGTGAACAGTCATGTACTTTGCTGTGTGTGTTGTCAAGTCACAGTTGACTTATGGTGACACACTAGGGTTTTCAAGGCAAGAGATTTCCAGAGGTGGTTTGCCATTGCTTGGCTCTGCATCATGACCCTGGTATTCCTTGGTGATCTCCCATCCAAACACTAGCCAGGGCTGACCATGCTTAGCTTCTGAGATCTGGCTAGCCTGGGCTAACCAGGTCATGTGTAGTCATGTTTGAAAGGTATGCATTAGGAAGCCCTGGTCAAACTGCTGCCCTTGCTTCTCTGAGCTTAGGGATAGGAGAGCAAAACTATGATCCTAAACAAGCCAAATATTTATTTATTTATTTAACTTTTATCCCGCCCTTCCTCTGAAGCAGCTCAGGGCAGCTCACAACATGATAGGTATGCCAACCTAGCAGTTCGAAAGCAAGAAATTGCAAGGATAAATAGGTACCACTTCAGTGGGAAGGTAACAACGTTCCGTGCACCTTGGTGTTTAGTCATGCCGGCCACATGACCATGGAAATGTCTTCAGGCAGCGCTGGCTCTTCGGCTTTGAAACGAAGATGAGCACCGCAAACCTAGAGTCGGATTCGGCTTTCGAGCAAGGGAACCTTTATCTTTACTTATACCATTCAACCACTTAACTGTTTAGCTTCTTTAAAATCAATGGGATTCTGTCAGAGAAATAACTAGGGTTGGTAGCCTGAAGGTGAGAATTTAAAAGCAGTTCCCTTCCCAACTCAACAGGATACAACTCACCCCTTCATCTATCTGATAGTGATTTAGCTGTCATACTGCAGCCTTTGGCAAGGTCTGAAGTCACAGGAGCAGCAAAAGTCCTGGGGAAGTGATCCTTTTAGAATGTAGAGGCATACTGGCCTTTGAGGACACTGGGGAAAGTCCCTGCGAGAGCTTGGAGACCCCCCCCCCACACACAGGACCTGCTTTTCTCCGGTCTTGCTTCATGTGAGGTGAGGAAGGAATCGACTCCCCTCAGCCTGTCACAGCCCAAGGCAAGGCCAAATTCTACCTTGCCCAGGCCAGCTCCGCCCTGAGGGAAGGGAGACTTGCTTTGCTGGAGCTGGCCCTGCACCAGCCAGCAGGGCCACCAGACAGGGTTGTTGTTGTTTTTCACACTAGGCGAGGCTACCTCCTGCACCCACCAATTTTCAAACATAAATGCATTTTAGGAAAAATGAAAAACACAACATTTGAAATTGCTAATTTATTTTTTTGTTAATTGTGAGAATAAGCCGGCTTAGTCCCAAACAGCCCCAGAGAGATAAGACTCTCCCCGGCAGGGGCTGGAGGTCTTCTCCTCACTCGGGTTGGACCCATGTGAGAGACCAAAGGAATCATATCTCGCTTGGGCTGGCCCCAAGTGAGGCGACCGAGACTCTCCTCGCTCCTACTGGTCCCCCGTGAGGCGAGAGGAAGCCCTCTCGACTAGTCCCCACCAGCACTAGCAGCAGCCAGGCCGAAGCGCCTCGCCTGGGTCAGCTAGCCCCTCGTAAGGCAAGACGAGCCCCGGCCAAAGCGGGATTTTCCTCCTGTAGCCCCTGCCCAGCCCTTCCTCCTCTGAAGTGGCATGGGGAGGGGGGGGGACACGGCTCTTCCCAAGGCTGTAAATTCAGGCCGTTCCCTACAGTACGACGCTTCCGAAGAACGGCCGTGCTGCAGCAGAAAGCCTCGGAGCCCCTTGCCGCTCGCTCTCATGCAGGGGGAATGCTGCCTTCAACTGGCCAGCGTACCTAGCACAGCAGCGTTGCTCAAGCAAGCGCCCGGAGAGGACGGCAGCCCCAGAGCCACGCACGTTTATTGCAGCCCGCGTTTCTGCAGGCTGGCACCTACTGGGTCAGATGGTCCATTACACGGCGTGCCAAAGCCGCTCGTGCATCTGGAAAATGAGCTCGCAGGCGACCATAAGTCTTCAAAGCACCACGATATACTGCAGTATAAGAACCGAGCACGCATTTCCAGCCCGGAGACCCGGAGACTCCCTCCCTCCCTTTCCTGGTGACCCGTATCGGGGATCAAGAGCGCAGCTGTAGCATGCCGAGAGCCGCTGAGCGCGGGCTTAACTCTCACACCATGGCGGCTCGCTGCTGCGACTGCGCTTGCGGTCCCTCACGCGCTGGCCCTCTCCTCCTCCTACACGCGGGCCCGTCCGCCTGCGAAGGTCCAAGGGGCGCTTCTCCAGCCAAGCCTGCCCGCGGAGCCGTCTCCTCCACTCCCACCCGCCTGCCCCACCCCCGAGTGTGTCATCCCCGCGCGCCGTCCTTTCCCCTCCCAAACTCGCGCTCAACTGGGAAGCCCCTTCGCTTCCCCCTGCAGTAGCAGCGCCGGCGCCCTCTCCCCCTTTACGGTAGCGATTATTGCACAGCAGACAGAAGCCGCGCGGATTCGCGGTCTTCGGAGAGGGCGGGGGGAACTAGGGAGCTGGGGGGCGGGTCCTGCCCTGGCGGGCCCCGCCTCCGCGTGCCGATCTCTGTCCTGGAGCGCCGCTAGGCTGCCAGAGGGAAGGAGCCACCTGCTTCTGTGCGGAGCCGCTCGCTCCCTCGCCCGGCTCACAGAGCCGCTTCGCGCCGCCGCCGCCCACGCGCCCAACTTCTGCTTCCACCTGCCACAGGGCTCGCCTGGAAAGTTACCGACCTGCCGTAGTTTCCCCCGAGGGGAGCAAGTCGTTGCCGCTCGCCGAGGGAGAGACGCCCTCTTGCCGTGCCTGCCCTACCTTCCCTTCCGCAGGAGAAGCGCCCCAAGCAGCCACCGCCGTTCGCCTCGAGCTTGGCGGGGAGGCGGGATGGAGACCCCCTCTGCCGCCTCCTGCCGCCGCCGCCCGCTGCAGCCGCCCTTGCTCCTGTGCCTGCTGCTCTTTGCCCTTTGCCCGCAGCCAGGTGAGTGAGTGGTCGGCTCGGGGCGGGGCGGGAGGGGCGAGAGCAGCGCCGTCGGCGGGCCCGGGGGGCAGCTGTCAAAGAGTGCCGCGCGCTGCCCGCTGCCTTTCTCTCTTTCTCTTTCTCTTCTTGTGCGGAAGGAAGGAAGGAACTTCGTGGCTGCTGCTTGGCCGCTGGGGTGCTCTGCGCTGGGAGCTCCCTTCCTCCATCTGCTTTCTGTTTTGCGTCGGTTAAGATTTTCGAGGGCTTCTTTGCTTTTGACGGCGGCGGGCGTGTGTGTAGGCGACGGAGTGCGGACCCCGCAAACACTGCTGCGCTTCTGTTGGAGGCTGAGGTGGGACTTGGCAGTAGGTGTGCGGGCATATGGAAATGTGCATAGCCCCTGTGTTCTCCGTGGCATTGGGAAAGCCCCCCGTCCCCTCTTTCAAAGCATTATTTCCTATAGTAGTCTATCGTCATTTACCTGCTATCAGTTTATGGCTCTGATTCCCCAGGGTAGTTGACGGCAGTCGAATATACTCCCAGAAACCGTCTGCGATTGCATCGGCCTCTTTCCGTGTGATTCACAAACCGCTTTAATTTCATGTGCTTGGGGTGTAGTCGAGGCGTTAATCCGTTTTAAATTCTGATAAATCCTTGGTGAGCCAGCGTGCAATCTTTCTCTTAGCCCTGGGTGCGTTATTTCTTTTCCCTCTAGGGTACGAATATAAAAGGATTGCTACATTTTCAACATTTATTTCCTCTTACTATGAGGCAATGTGTCGGACTGTTGCCCTTCTCTCCCCCCCCTCCCCCCGTCTGAGTTTCATTGTGAAAACAAACAAAAATCTGCTTTCTGCGGCTTGCCAGTTCACGCTTAAACTCCCAGAGGAATTCTGTGAAAATAGAAAAGCCTCTGACTTGGGTGGGTTTCATCGGTCTCCGTTTGAAAGTTGCCTTTCTAGTTGTGCTGGGGAGGATGTGAAAGAGGTGACCTCACCTGCAGTTGTACAAAGCAAAACAGCAAGCAGGTTGGGGTGGGTGGGAGAAGAAAGGGTTGTTAAATAGTGAACAAGATAATCCAGACGAGGCTGCCAGATAAAACCAGGTCTTCAAGGCGTGTCAGTTCTGATGGTGTATTTTCAGTCACTAATACTTTAAACATCTCTTATAATAAGCTCTTTAGAGAAACTTGTTAGTGTATCTGTTTCCTGCCTGTACTACAAATGATGTCATAGGCAGGGGCACTTTTTTTTAATCTTCTGCCATGGGGATAATTCCAGTCCTATCCCTGTGATTCCCCCTTGGGTGTGTGTGTGTGTGTGAGTGGGTGGGTAGGTAGGTGGGTGGGTGGGGAGGAGAGGAAAAGAAAGGTATTCTCATTTTGTTCCTGGCATAGTCAGCCCTCAGGCATTGTATTGGTGATAGAATTGGCACTTCTGTATGGATCTGACTGGTAACAACACCCTTGACTAAGAAAATGTCTCATGTAAACACTATTTCTGTTGGAAGGCTTTAGTCTTCATGGTTGGCAATTCGAAAGGTGGAGCTCATTCACTGGAACACACACATTCTGCTTTAAAATTAAAGAGCAGTTTGATGACAAAGTCCAGATTCCCTGAGTTATGAGACCCACCTGGTTGGTTTTTTAAATAAACCCTAGACCATTTAAAGTAAATAGCACATTGCTGGCTAACTTCTAATACTGTGATTATTGTACTGTAAGCGAATGTGGTTTCCAGACTACAGTTGCTCTATTCTGGAGCAGTCTCATTAAACTAAAGTCAGTTGGAACTCTCTGGAGTGTGTGGGCTGTAGCCCAAGTTCGTTTTGATTGCTGTCATTATTTCTTGAGCTTCTTAGGATCTTGACAAAGAAAAGGGTATTAAAGTCTTCTTGAAATAACCTGGGCAGTTCTGTTTGTACTTTTTTTTTTGTCTGTCTAGTATATTTAAACAGAACTGAAACCAAGGGAAGCAAACTGTGAACTCTGTTCTTTCTTCAGTGTGTAGAATATCTCATTATTCTTGTAGAAAGAGCGTCAGCCTGTGGTGACATCTTGTACTGCTCCGAGAGAGAGGCTTTGTATGCTTGCCTTTAGAGGCGACGGAAATGTTGCAAAGGATTCAGTGCTTTTAGTCACCAGACAGTACATTTGGAGAACTCCCGTATTAACTATTTAAAGGCTACATTCTAGATGTAAGTGGGAAGCACAAATGAATTTCTGGGCATGTGTTTTTAGAAAATTTCAGTTGTGGTTATTTTGAGGAAGTTTGGATTTAGTAAATGTCACAATGTGGCCTTGAAATGGGGGGGGATCCTCCTTTTCTGTTATGTTATTAAACGCAGTACTTAATTAGCAAGTCTCTTAATTAGCAGTTATGATGCAACATGAAAATATTCTCCATTTACTTAGAGATTATGTGATTAGATCAAGGCACACTTACATGGGGATAAGCCACATTGATTACAATGGGATTTATTTCCAGGGAAAATATGCCTAGGATAAAGATAATATTTATGCTTTTTAATCTCATGAGATATAGTTTTATTGCAAAAAAATGAGTTATTCCAAAACTTATGGAACAGTTCCCTTGATTTATAATTAAAAACAATTAATTAAAAATTAAAAAATAAAACGTGCATGGCAGAATTTTGAAATATAATCCTGTTGCAGAATTTTTAACGTTATATTTTCCCCCCTGACATAGCAGTGTCAGCTAATATACTTTTACTTTATGGTAAGCGTCATGCAATCCCAATTTTGTTTACTTGGAATAAAATCATTGTATTAAGTAGGTCTCATTCTCAGAAAGTGGGCATAGGCGTGAACTTGAAACAGTGCAGTCCTAAAAGGAGTTACACTTTTCTAAGGCCATTGATTTCAGTTGATTTGGGTGTAACTGTATAGGATGGCTAAGCTCGCAGGCTTTTTCAAATATATCTATACAGGAAAAACTGCTTATTCCTCATGATGAAAAAGAAAAAGTTTGTCTTAGCTTTATGTCATGCTTAAAAACAGACAACTTCAGTTTTGTGCTCTTAAGCAGAACATCATGAATCATTGCATTGAAAGCATCCATTTTTAATGGTTAGAGTATTGGGATTAGAAACTAAGGCTCCAGATCTATGCATGCTTTCTTGGAAACAAGGTCAGTTGAACCCATAAGGAGTTACTTCTAAATAAAACGATTGCTGTAAATGGCTAAAAATGGGATTGGGGCAGTCTTCATACCAGTAATGTGTGTGTGTGTGTTATTGGGTACAGACTTCCGGCTACACTCCTGGGCTGAGCAGGTGGTGCTTGACTTGCTCCTGAACTTTTGATTTATCATCGTTCATGGGTTTTGTCTACTCTTTGGTGACATACAGAAACTGAATGTAAGAAATAGTAAATTCATAAAGACTTGTGAATATATTTATATAAAATCAATATATAATTCTATAATTAATTGCCTTTTAAATGCTAAGTAGTGATCAGATCTGTTTGTAAACAAGCACCTTTATGTGGTATAATTAATAATTTATGCCCGTGGAATGGGAGCGCCTAACTGGGTTGCAGTTTTGGTTGTAAGTCACTTAATGTTTTGACTTTCTTGTGCACTGTTGGAATGCATACACAAACTAAAAGTAGATACCTTTCAGTGAGTCAGTTATGGTTGGCATTTGTCCAGATGGCAAGCTGACTAGTTTTGTAGCGTGTTTGTCTTCAACTGGTTCATGTAAAAATAGCAATGAACTTTGATGATTTTGTTTTGTGTTTAAAAAATATAGCTTAGTAAACTTAGTAAACTTAATAGTGATCAGACCTTCTGTATGGCAGTAGAACCTTGCCTACAAAATGGACACAGCCTGCATATATGTACAAGGAAACCTGGAAGCCTTAGTTGGATAAATAAATATAATGCATAAATGTATATCACTAGATGTGTGTCCAATTCCTTTGCTTACCAACCCTGTGGTTGCAATATTTAATGGAAGTTTGAATATTGAATATGTGGCTCTGTGTTATGCCAAGAGCTGCAGCAATACCACTGCGTTGTGATAGCTCAGGGAAGGTCTTGAACCCACTTTCTTTTTTATGTATGTTCCATCCTATCATACTTTGATCACATTATGAGAAGGCAAGAGTCACTGGAAAAGACACTAATGATAGGAAAAGTTGAAGACAGCAGGAGAACAGAAAGACACAGCATGAGGTGGATTGACTCAATCAAGGAAGCCACAGCCCTCAGTTTGCAAGATCTGAGCAAGGAGGTTAATGATAGGATGTTTTGGAGATCATTAGTTCATAGGGTTACTGTGAGTTGGAAATGACTCAAAAGCACATAAAACATATTCATGTTCCATCTTCCCTGTTTGTGCTGCCTTTTCCCACCAGTGGTTACTCAAATGGATACATAATTCTTCTCTCCTCCATTTTATCCTCACAACTTCCCTTTGAGATAGGTTTGGCTGTGAATGTGTGACTGACTCAAGGTCACCTGGGAAGTTTCCATGGTAGATTGGGGATTTGCACCTGGGTTTGTTAGATCTAACCATGACACCATAGCGGTTCTGATCTATCAAGGAAGTTGTTAACCCCTGCTTTTTTGTAACAGAGGGGGTATTTTATACCTTCCTTGTCTTTGTTGCCCGATTTTTCTGGCTTCTCATGAATAAAGTTTTGCTTCCATTGCAAATAGCTGAATTCCTTCATTATTCACATTTGCAAGTCTTACCATCATCTTAAAGGCAGTGGCCAATTTTCAAATACCTACCTTTATTTTCGAATGTGATATGCCTGTAACAAAGAAAGAACCAAAATTTCCATTGCATGGGTGTGTGGGGTTTCTTGAGACAGTGTTGACCAGAATGTTCAAATTCGCTTCATTTTTGGCACTGCAAGTCTGATCACCATCCTGTAGGTGTCCTGCCACAAAAAGACAACCTTGGCTTCCATAGGAAAAGACAGCTGTAGCTTTCCATACAAACAGGTCTCAAGAGAACATGGGCCAGGATGAACTGGTTCCCTCTTATGTTTG